AGCCATTAGCGGCGGTATTTTGGGAGAGGTTGGGGATGGATGTGTTGGTCTATCATACGAAGGGTAGCCCGAAGGCCAGATGGTTACAGTCGCGAAGCGACTGGAACCATCTGGTTTATTACAAATATCCTATCTGACAGAGGATTTTTTCTGATTCGATTGATATATTTTGCCAAAGCCTGGCAATTTCTAGGTTGCTGTTTACCGTTTCTCCCCAAACACCTTACAAAAATTGCAATCCAGTCCAACCTTCCTCAACACTTTCGATTTGCGAGAATTTTTGAGTTAAAAAGCTTATTCGATAAAGAAATAAAATTTCGGAACACGATGATGATAAACGTTTTTAGAAAACCAGTCAGGAAAACCAAAATATTCGAACCTGAAGTTTCGCAATTTTAGCTTAAAACGGACTTAAAAACGTTTTAGCTTTTTAACCCGAACTATTTTGCGGTTTTTGAAAACAGATTCATAATCGGCGATAAATTTGCACAAGATGTGCTAGGTCCCTTTTGATTTGCCATTGGTGGGACAGCACCCGGATGGACATCGACCCCGAGAGCAGTATTTTTTAAGAATGTATTAGGTTGGACCCAAAGTTCATGCAATATTTTTCAGTATTTTATATTTTCGTTCCGGAAAACGGAACCGAAACAAAATTTTTTAGTGATGGACGTATGCACAATCAAATTCTCTACTCGACCCGTGGGACGGATTCACAATCCATTTCCCCTAAAATTTTTCAGTTCAATTTACTAGAAAATCGAAAAACGCTGCGGCCCGCTGTTTCCAAAACAGTTCCGATTTATATTTTTCGATATTTCAGCATCCAAATTCTGGCTAAGAAGTATTATCTTGCTGGCGCTTCATTGCTATGGTAAAGTTATGGTGATCCTGAAAGATGCCCGGGTCAAAATGTAGAGAAAGAAACGCAAAAAGAAAACCTAAAGAAACGCAAAAATAATAAACTACTGCGGCTAAAAAATTGTAAATTTGATCCGACATACTATTAAACTCCGCGAATATGGGAGAAAAAAAATACAGTAATATCGGCCGACAAAAGTTTTAGAAAGAAATTTCCGAAGTTCGATTGTATGGTCCAACCTAATAGATGTAATAGTTGTTACTATCCATCCGAGCGGTCTTCGGCTGTGCTACCGAAATGACGAGCCAAAAAGAAAGAGCCTACCTGACGGTTCCGTAGTTTGCATCCAAGAATTTTACCGTACAGCCTTGGCTGTCAACGGCGATCGACCAACCATTTACGTCTGTCATCCCAAAATCGAAGTCGTGCACCCACAGCTGCAATTGAATAAGGATTATCGGGCGCGAACCAAAGTTTTTTTTTGTCTAGTGACGTGTTAGCAAGTGCATTAATAGTGTTTTTAGTAAAAATGACAGTATTTGTCGAAAGTTCCCTGCAAATGGAAGCATTTTACTTTCATTTACAGGTCACTTCCGAGGGTTGTATACTATCCCATGGACTCGGAGGGCGCGCAGGGGCGCCCACTACGGTAGTCCCCCGCCTCCCGGGCTCTCGTGGGATTTTTGGCCGGTTCTGGGTGCAAACCCCGGGTACCATAGCCCACGGTGCACGGAGTCGGCGTGTGAACGGGCAATACGAGCTCCTGTTCCACGCGCTCCACCTACCTTCCCCCCAGGGGTTAGGCTAAGGTGAGGGTCAGACTGGCAAACCCATTTGAGCCTTTTATACCTATCAGACCCATCCTATACTCACTCTCTTATTAGTGTATTGTAAGGTCTTTAGTAATAAAGCTTTTGTGCTATACAAGACAGTGGTACGCGCAAGGGATCTTATTCGTGATCTGCGGGACGTGCAAGGGCCTATAGATACAAGCAGATCTCCACTTTTCCGATGATCCACTCCAGGGACAAGCTGACGGAAGACATCAGGGAAAAGACAATGTGGCAATCCCTCCGCGTGGGCATTTCTTGGGATTTATTCTCTCGAAGTGTAGGGACTGTACTTTACTTTCGACAGTATTTCAACTAGAAACCATCAAAAAAAGTTAGAAAAAGGAAAAATTTTGCTCCAAAAATCGGCAATTTTTGATATTTTTGAAAAAATGTATATTTTGAAATTATTTAATAAAAATTTTGTATAGTTTACACGTTTAGGAATAGTAAAAGCCATTTAAAAACAATTCCACTATTTATATTTAAACAATTAGATCTTAAGAAAAAAGTTTGCTCCCCCCCCCCCCCCGATATTGCGAAACACCCCGAATAATGGTCCGTTTCTATACTTGGGACGTTATTGAAAAATTAGTCGGTTCTTTGACCAGGATTCGTTAATCCCAAAAGTGTTTTTAAGCAGAGCTGCCTACCTTGTTCTTCTCCTCGGCCTCACCACCATCTTCAGCCCGCTGTGCTGGATGCACAACCAGGTAAAACCTCGCAACTTTCCTCGGAAATATCCCTCGTTTATTCAGCACCGTCCTGAAGCGTTTAAATTGCGTTATCTTTCCAAGTACTCTCAATAATGACCTGAACCGCTTGTTGACTCGCTGCAAATTGATGAGTTCACGGATAGACAGCCGGTCAAGTACGGCAGACGCCAAGGCATTTGGGAGACGGTCGGTGGCGAACATCTACAGGTTGTGCCAATACAAAACACCCCCTCTAACTCTACGCAGAAGTATCCGATCGGAATGATAGTTTCACCATTCGTTTGCAACAATCTTCAAAACCATGCTTTTATAAAACCCGCTATTTTGCAAGTTATTTTGCAAGATTTTCCACTTTTTCGGGGTGGCATACGTAAATCCCAAGTAAAATGGCCGGAGTTCGCGTTGCTAGATGCAGAGTCCGTTCCTTAATGTTTTTAAATGCGCAGTAAAATAGCGGGGTCAAATAAAAAAATCGTTTTCAAAATGTTTGCAAACTCGTCGTTTCAAGGGAATGATGCAACGACCATTCCGATCACTGTGCCCATGACGGCTTGGCACAGTTTTTCCGACTCTGTGTTTTGGAGGCATCCGAAAGAGAAGCGTCGAATTAGTAGGGGGACACTATTTTTCAAAACTAAAAAGTTTATTACCGGTGTTTACATGGGTAAGGTTGCCGGCCCAGTGAAACTAACCTGAAAAATGTACACGGAAATTGACGGGAAATTTGCGTCAACACCTAATTTTGGATGTGACTCGCTTCTCTAGCACATGTGAGGGCATTGTGAGGCCCGGGACACCCTATTGAGGTCGGCAACTTTCACGGTCATTTAAACACGGCGAGTAAACTTTTGAATTTTTCGAAACGGTACCACGCTACTAATTCGACTATGCTCCCTCAGACGGAGTCAAAAAATGGTCGGGGAAAAACTGTGCCAAGCCTGGTTCGGCTGGCTCGAAAACGGGCTTTTAAATCGGGAAATGGTTAATAAGGAAATTATATGAAGTAGCTGCCAAAAAATGGAATGGGATGGCGGGATGATTGGGAGGGATTTGTCCCAGCATCTGCGTACTTCGGGGCCACACACTAAAAAGCAGCGTATCAACTTGATCCTTGCCGGCACGAACTGCTTTTTAAAATGTCCTTTTCACTCCACGTGGCCTTCACTCAAGCTTCTAATTTTACCTTGATAGAATGCATAAATTGCTAGAATTATTACTAGAACTTGTTGAACTCCTCGGAGGCTTCCACCTAAACAAAAAGCAGGCTTTCTCTTTCTTTCCTTCTTAGTTTCTTTTTTTACTCTCTTGTTTAGCGTGCTCTCGCTTTCTCTCTCTCTCTCTCTCTCTCTCTCTCTCTCTCCCTCTCTCTCCCTCTCCCTCTCTCTGGCTCTCAGACTCTCAGATCCAGACTCAGGTTTTTTATCGTCTACGCAGATTTTGCCATTTCCACGATAGCATAGACTAGTGATGGGGTTATTCAAATCAAATCTTGAGTCAAATCTGAGAGCTCAAATCTGAAGATTTGAAGGCAAAAATTTCAATTTCAAATCGGCGGATTTGATTTGAAATCCCGTGGACGAGTTCAAATCAGATCTCGAGGATTTGATTAAGCTTCCGGTCCTTAATCAAATCTTATGGAGATGCTGGCATGCAAAATATAGCAAAATCGCTATGGCCGAGCTGGCGCGAACCGGAAATGACCTTCATTATGCATGCCATCATAAAATTAGCATTCGCGTAATGAGCTATTGATTTTTTCGACTCCTTTCAAATCCTCGTTCAAATCTTCAGATTTGAACTCAAACCTCGAAAGTCCAAATCAAATCGATTTGATTTGAAGAGCTGAAACCTTATTCAAATCAAACCGGCAGATTTGATTAGGCGGATGCAAATTAGATTTGAGATTTGAATAATACCATCACTAGCATAGACCTTTATTAACACCATTTAACAGAGAAAAAGGTTGGCAAAACGGGAGAATAAAAAAAGAAAAGCCCAGCTTCAGATTGTTATATCTGTAGTCTGAACCAAGGAAATCACAGCCAGCACAGCCTGGAATCGCGAGTCGCAGAAGAAGTGTGGGGGGAAGGAGCCCGGAAATTCACCAGAAGTTTTCAGATTAAAATTTAAGCTATGGATGGGACACAACCATGGGGGGAGGGAAATGCTCAACAACAACTGGTCGATTATGAATGTCTAACGGTGGCCAAAAATCAAATATGACAATTGTAAAAATTCGTAAAATTCAGAGACCCGAATAGAAAATGGGGGGCGAGAGGGTGGGAGAGGGAGAGGCGAGCCATTTTTGCATAGCGTCAACAATTTAAGTGAAGCGGGATTTGGGGAGGCGGGTTTTCATAAATTATTAGTATTATGCGAGGGTAGCGATGGCAGGGGTACGGTAGCTAGAATTTACAAATTTCGGTCGAAAAGCGGGGTTTTAGGGCTCACGCCTTGAACTGCTCGCAATCCTGGGGGCGAGGGTGAGCTCCCTTTTCAGCTAAATTGTCAAATTTTCAAGTTCAAAATCCGGCTCTTCGCCGCCTAAATACCGCCCCAGCTACCGTACCCCAGACTTTTGAGCGGGATCTAGCGATTCTTCAGCTCGCGCGCCACCCGTTTCGTCGCCCGGCCGCAGCAGCAGCCCAGCACCAGGATCACGAGGATGAAGAGGGCCAACCACGACAGCAGCGAGTTCTGGAAATATTTTATTGGTGGTTTTTCCATACTTGATGCTTAAGGGTCGGCTTGCGCTTTTCTTCTAAGCTCGGCTTGGCTATGGCTTAGTTCAGGCTGAGCTTAGGCTTAGCGTAGTTTAGACTTAACTTGGGCTTAGCTTAGGCTTAGTTTTGGCTTAGTTTAGGCCTAGTTTAGGCTTAGCTTAGGCTTAGCTTAGGCTTATCTCAGGCTGAGCTTAAGCTTAAGTTAGCTTAGCTTAGGCTTGTCATAGGCTTAGCTTAGGCTAAGTTTAGGCTTAGCTTAGGCTTGGCATAGGCTTGGTTTAGGCTTAGCTTAGGCTTAGCTTAGGCTTGGCTTGAGTGAATTTTCAAGCCTGTCAAAAAACCTACCCGTTGCGGGTGGTCCCTGATGATCTCGACGAACTCGCCGAACGTCTCCGGCATCGCCATTTGGTATTCCTGGAAAACAACGAGTTATAGAAAGTCAAGAAAATCGCTAAATTAACGAAACAAATTGTAAAAAATTATAAACTCCATACTGAATGAGCCTTCATCCAGAGCTGGTTGCGCTCGTGCAGCTTCGTCTTGCAGCTCTGCGTCAGCTTGACGGTGGTGCTCTCGCTGGCGGAGATCAGGCACGCGATAACTGAAGCAAAAATGTGTATGTAGTTTTGCGAAGCCTATCTCTCTCTCTCTCTCCGTTTCTCTCTCTCTTCGTCTCTCGCTCTCTCGCTCTCTCTTTCTCTCTCTCTCTCTCTCTCTCTCTCTCTCTCTCTCTGTCTCTCACCTCTTCCCTGTCCCGGCGGCGTATCCCTGCAGTAGTGTTGAATATCGGTGGCGCAAGCCTCATGCAGTACTGGATCCAAGTGGATATCGACCAGCGATTCTTGCGTCCTCTTCGCCAACTAAAGGCTTGTTTACAAATTTCTAGTAAATTCTCAGACCTCAGCATTGCATTCAGAGTCCTGGATGGAGCCCTGGTAAAAGTCTGCTTTTAGGCACTCCAGCACATTTTCGTAGTGGCCACCCCGCTCGACGACGGCTGAGGAGCAGTGCCGCTCGATGGTCTTCTTACAGGCCTTGTACAACGGTGGGTCGAGCTGGACGTCGAATTCTGATTCGAGCACGACGCGGGAGATCTGAAGCGTTGGAAGGGTGAGAGAGAGAGGGGGAGAGCGAGAGGGAGAGCGAGGCGAGAAGATAGAGAAACAGAGAGAGAGATAGAGAGCGAGAGAGAGCGAGAGAGCAAGAGTGAGAAAGGTAACCAAAGAAGATTTCCCACCTCCTCTGTACACGCCGGCGAGAAGTGCGGCTTCGTTCCACCGGTGACCATCCTGAACTGCTCGCGCAGGCCTGAAAACGGAGCTCAAAACAACTGGATGGTTCTTACAGTTGATGACGACACCATGCAGTTGCTGCTCGGCGTACTGCTTGGCGTTGATCTTGCGCATGTCCTCGCCGCAGCTGGAATCCGAGATTTAGCTCTACGCCTCTCTCTCTCTCCCTCTCTCTCTGTCTGTTCTCACTCCCTCTCTCTCTCTCTCTCTCTCTCTCTCTCTCTCTCTCTCTCTCTCTCTCTCTCTCCCTCCCTCAAAAAATCCTTACAAAGTCTCAGCCTCCGCCTTGCAAGCAACCAGCAATCCTGGGCGCAGCCGAACGTCTTGGGCCTGTTCCTTCATACGCTCGTGGACTACCTGGAATTATCGGTAAGTTTAGAGTTAAAGGTAATGTTAATTTTAATTAATTAAGTTATGCAATACCTTCTGACACGGCTTTTTCAGCAATCTAACAATCTTCGTATTCGTCAGGCATTCCAGCACATTTTCCGGATGTGAGTTCTTGCAGTAGCGCGCGATATCCGGGGCGCATTGGCGCTAAAAATGGCTTGATTTATTTAGATCTTTACAGTAAGATTCAGGTATTCATAGCTATAGTAATACGGTAATAAAGCAAATTAAAAATTTTTCTTACGTGCAGCTCGTCATCGAGCGTATTGTCGGCCGCCTCGAACTTCTCGCGGTCAAAGACGACGGCTTTGCAGTCGGGCACTAATAGGTATTAAATTTAAATTTGCCAATAAGTGGATTACCTAGACTATCGAACCCTTCGCGCAGACACTCGACGACATCCTCGAACGTGTCGTGGTCCTGTTGCTAATTCGATTTTAGGCAGAGTCGGGGGTTAGTTTGGTGGGTTTTTTTGTGTAAATTTTTCATAAAAAAACCCGAAAATTATCGAATTATAGCTTTTTACCCAAAATGTCAAACATTTTAATCTTTTACATAGTTGTTCTACTGAAAATATAACTTAATTCCTAGGAACTCTACAAAACCATTACTATTACATTACTGGGCTTTTCTGGTCTTATTTGGAAAAAATTAGGGCAATCCGATAAGCCCCCCCCCCCCCTTTAAATCATAAGAACCGATTCTGCATTTTTTTATGCAGGTTCTTTATGAATCAGGGTGTCAAAGAGCTATTTTAAATTAAAATTCAATTTAGCTATCTTATTTTATTTTTTTTTAGTTAAATTAACCTCACCTTGCACCCAAGCCTCTTAATATCGATCTCGCACTTTTTCCACAAATTCGGGTCAGCGTCCTGCATGTGTTCCTTGTCGTCGAACTGTAATGGAGATGGGTGCCGTTGTGCGTGCATAGGAATCGATCGTAATTTGTTGTTTTGTGTGTTTTTTAGACGACCACGGTGAAATTAGACCCTGGAGAATCCCAAAAAAATGAATACATGGTGACCATTGACGAAGGGACAGCCGAACACCCGAAAACCAAAAAAAGTGATGCCAAGAATTGGGAATAAATTTGTAGGTTTGGATTACGGTAATATAACGGGAAAAGTCGAAAATATTGATATCTTCAATCCTCAATAATCTTTGCTAGTTGGCTATAATATGTTTATGATGGCTGCGTTTCCTCAAAGATCTCTGCTAGTTAGCCACCGGGTTTAAAAAAACTAGCGCAGCCTATCGAATCTTAAAAAATCTCTGCTAGATTGCCCGACTTTTTGGGGGGGATTACGGCGATTTCCCGACGGGTCTTTGCTAGCCTACCTCGTGCTCGCCTACGAATAAAAGCAAAGCCCAAAGAACGTCAAAAATGGGTTTTTCTGCTCTCTCTCTCTCTCCCTCTCTCTCTCTATCTCGCTCTTTCTCCCACTCTCTGTCTGTCCCTCACTCTCACTCCCTCTCCCTCGCTCTCTCCCCTCTCTCCCTCTCTCTATCTCTCTCTCACTCTCTCTCTCTCTCTCCCCCCTCTTTTACTCCAAACCCTTTAAAGCCATGCTAAACCAGGAAAGCCCCAATAAGAGCCCAAGGAAGGAGAGGTTTTGCCCCGATGAGTGGGTAGGGAAACACTCACTTTGGTGTCTACCTGTTCTTGCTCGAGGTAGGCCACCTTCAGCTGCTTCTTGCAGTCCGGCTTCAGCTGTTTCGGGTGGCCGAGGACTTTGTGTTCGAAGACGATCTCCGAGAGACATCGGATGATGGAGGCTCTGAAAATGCGGGTAGAGAGAGAGAGAGAGCGGGAGAGAGAGAGAGAGAGAGAGAGCGGGTGAGCGGGAGAGGGCGAGAGAAAGAGACAGAGAGCATTTCTCCACCACTCACTTGTCCGAAGCCTCGTGCGCGCAGCTCTCCTTAATATCGGGTCCGCAGGCTTCTTGGAACCTGGAAAAAAATTTCTTGAAAATTTTTGAGGACTGTACTTGTAGCTGAAGTGGTAATCCCGCATCGAGATCAGCTCAAAGTGATGGACGTAGGATCTAGAAAATTAGCATTTAGTGAATCGCCGACTGTCACTAACCTGCACTTGGTGTTCATCAACTCGGAGCCCTTGTTCTGCACCAGGCAGTCGAGGACGTCGCCGTGGTCAATTTCTTCGTTGATGAATTCCTGGAAAAATGGGTTAAAATGCTGCTGAACCTGAATATCTCCGAACTTTGCGGCTTTTTGCCATATATGAATTACATCCCTGTAAAGCCGTAGAAAAATAGATGATCAACGAGCTCGCGATGTTCAAATATTCAATCCGAAAATTCTAAAAATTCCTTACCTTGCAGTGCGCCTCGATGACCGGCTTGCAGGACCTGGTGAGCAGCCTGTTCAACTTGGTGTCCTTGGCCTCCATCTCGGTGAACTTCTTGATCTCGTCGTAGCAGGGCTTGTAGTGCCCGATGAAGTCCTTTTCTTCGAAGTGGTCTTGCAAGCATTGCATCTCCTAAAAAAATAGGAGTTTAAAAGTTGAAGAGATACAATGGCCAAAATCACAGTGGAAACTAGCAAAGACTCTTGCGGAATTTATGCGAAATTGCAAGACTAGTTAGAAAATATCAGGTTGGAAAGAAAGTAATGGCACAAAATCTTTAAACCGCTGTAAAAGCCCGCAGGAACATCCGATTTGAAAGTTTGATATATGGTTTGGTAGATCTTCGGATGCTCTATCACGAGACGATTCTCAAAACACCCAAAAACTTATATACGCGAAAATACAGGCCTCAGAAGTTTCACGGAAAATTAGGTGAAAGCTTCTAAGCGAGATATCTCTGCATACAGGCATTTGCATACGATACCTTTAACACCAATCGATAGCTCTCGAGGAGTAGATATCGATAGATGTTGAGATCATCAAAATCGGACACTGGATGGCCGAGATATGCCCCCTAGAAATTTGGTCCACTTCTTAGAACTTTTCTCGAAATCCCCTACATTTAGGCCTGCGCGAGCCAAAAACTGCTGCGTTTGCTTCAGCTCCCGAACCAAAATCCAGAAAATGCATTGATTTTGTAGGGCCCATATCTCGGCCATCCAGTGTCCGATTTGGATGATCTCAACATCTATCGATATCTACTCCTCGAGAGCTATCGATTGGTGTTAAAGGTATCGTATGCAAATGCCTGTATGCAGAGATATCTCGCTTAGAAGCTTTCACCTAATTTTCCGTGAAACTTCTGAGGCCTGTATTTTCGCGTATATTAGTTTTTGGGTGTTTTGAGAATCGTCTCGTGATAGAGCATCCGAAGATCTACCAAACCATATATCAAACTTTCAAATCGGATGTTCCTGCGGGCTTTTACAGCGGTTTAAAGATTTTGTGCCATTACTTTCTTTCCAACCTGATACAATTTACTACGTCAAACCCAACCTCCTGAGGCGCGATATTTCCGCTACAGTACTCGGACAGGGCTCCTCGGCAAGTCTCCTCGATCTCGGGGATCAGCGACACGCGGACGGCACGCTCACGGAGTACGCGTCGCACCTCGATCGTGCAGTGGGGTGTCAACTATAATTCTTTTATAATTGCTTTTCCAGTTATGCTTATGTGTTGTTAATACAATTAAATTATGCTTTCGGTTTCATACTTATAAAGCAATTTTTTTAAGCCTTCCAAGCAAAACTTACCGGATTCGTCTCATCGTAGGCACTACGGTAGAGGCAGGCAAGAACTTGGGGGCCGGGGTCGACCTTGTTGGCGCTGTTGGTTTGCATATGCCAATCGGGGAGGGCAGAGCATCTGAAGGGATGTTGCTTTAACGGTTTATGGTCAAAATAAGTTTGTAAAATTGTTAATTCTGCGTTTAGAAGGTGTACGTCGCGGTCGCAGCAAAATTTAGAGGAGAGACATTAATGACAAAGATCATATGAATGCCTTCAAAGTTCTTTTAAAAAGACGATCAAGCCAGAATTCGTGCTCTGAGACCTACTTCGAGACCGCATCGTCGTGGCAAGCCTTGTAGAGGCCAGGGTCAAGGGTCCAGTCACGGGCCATGAAGTATTGCACCTAAACGGCAAGTTTGAATTCTTGATCTTTCTCTCTCTCTCTCTCTCTCTCTCGCTCTCTCGCTCTCTCTCTCTCCCTCAATCCCTCTATCTCCATCTCTCTCTGTCTCCCGCTCTTTCTCTTTCTCTCTATTCCTCACTCTCTCACACACGCTCTATCTCTCTGTCCTTCCCTCTCCCTCCCTCTCTTGCCATGCTCTCTCTCTCTCTCTCTCTCTCTCTCTCTCTCTCTCTCTCTCTCTCTCTCTCTCTTTCTCCTTCTCTCTCACCTCAATGAGTCTCTGCTCGCACTGCGGGGTCATCTTGTCCGAGTCGACGTTCTTCATCAGGCACTGCAGCGTGGCGGCCTCGGACTGGGCGTCTTGTTGGCATGGGCCTAAAGGAGTTCTCTACTATTTTGCTGTCATATTTTAAGGGTTATATTATTTCATGTTATACAACCAGTATCCAGAACAACACGAAAGGTAGCTCAAAAACCGGTACAATCTACAAAAAACCCACCATCAATAATGTCCCTGCAAGAGGCGTACAGCACTTTGTCGACCTTGTAGTTGGAGCCGATGTCGGCAATCTAGAAATAGCGAAGTTGCGATAAGTCTAGTGGTTTTAAAGGGAGAGCGAGATGAGGAAAATTACCTTCATCACTTCTCCGAGAGCTTGCATGCATTGCGGTCCGACTTTCTTCGTTTCGGTCCGCTCCTTGGCGTGTTCCATCAGGCAGTGGAGGGTTCTGGAAGTCGCACATTGAGCGAGTGGTCGAGTGAGGGCGAGAGGGCTAGTGTGAGCACGAGAGAGAAAATGAGAACGAGGAAGGGAATGAGATAGATAGAACGATCGAGAGAGAGAGAGAGAGAGAGAGAGAGATAGAGCGAGGGAAAGAGAACGAGGGAAAGAGAGAGAAAGAGAGAGAGAGAGAGAAAGCGCGAGAGCGAGAGCAACGGTGCTGAAGTCGTCTAGTTCTCGTACCTGCCCTCAGCCTCGATATCTCCTTTAGGTGAGCACCATTGGTCGATTTCCTAAGCAATTAAAATTAAAGGGACTGGTAAGCCTCTTACATTAGCACAGTTAATGACGACTTCAGGCGCAATTCGGAACTCTGACATCATCATCTGCCGGTGGGTGAGCATCTCGTGCTGGCACTCCTTGCTGGGCGGGTTTTGCTAAAAAAATATATTTTTAAGGCGCAGAGAAGCTTAATGGGATTATTAGCTTAAGCTTCGCTTAGCTTAGGGTTAGGTTAGGCTTATGGCTTGGCTTTACTTACCGTCTGGCTCTTTGCCCCATTCTCAAGGCACAACAACAGCCACGTCATGTGGAAGTGGACGGCGGCGTCGAGGTTTTCCTGCGCTTCACATTTGTACCTAGAAAAAGCGGCTTAGCTTGTCAGCTTCAGGAGCTTAAGGAGCTTTGGAAGCTGAAAAATCAGCTTTACAACTCACTTTTTCATGTCAGCATCGCAGGCCTTGGTGAGTGGGTGGGCCAGTCGGTAATCACGGCCCATCAGTTGGGCGCGCTCGACCAGGATTTTGGAGCACTAAAAAAGAGGATCTTAAACGTCTGTGGATCTCTCGCATGTGCTTCTTTTTTTTGAGATTTTCATGCTATTCGGAAACTTGAAAAGATCTCGAAATTTTGTCTGAGTTGCCGTCTTTAAAAACCTTTTTAACACTGACCTCCGGCTGCATCTCGGCGTTGTTGCGGTTGGTGATCAAGCATTCGAACACTTTGCCCTGGCCGGCCGGGACGTCTTTGCAGAATTTCTGGAAGAAAGGTGCTTTTAAAGGGGTTGGAAAGCTCATCAAGCTATCGGAAAATCACGAAATCGTTCCCAAGTCTTCGGTATTTTACCAAAACTTATTAAGTCGGCCTCATTAGTGTCTTAACGTAAAAACAACAAGCTTTTTTAGTCAAATTCGACAAATTTCTCCTCACCTCACGATCCTGACGGCAAGCAAAGAAGAGCGGGCGGTCGAGGTGGAAGTCGTCGGCCTGCATCTCAGCCAGTCTGAGCACCTGATGCCGGCACTCCTGGCTGAACTGCGAGTTTTGCTGGTCGGCCTTCTTGTCGTTCTCCTTGACGAGTTGCTGGATCAAGCACTCGAGGGCCATGCCTGGAATTGAGGGATTACGGTATTTTGCGAACGGTATCTATCGGTGTAGCTATCTCTCTCGCTCTCTCTCTCTCTCTCTCTCTCTCTCTCTCTGTCTCGCTCGCTATATCTCTCGCCCCCCCTCTCTCTCTCTCTCTCTCTCTCTCTCTCTCTCTCTCTGTCTCGCTTTGTTTCTCTCACTCACCTTGAGTGTGCGGGACCCTGACACCTTTGTGCGCCTTGTCGGGGGTCATCACCTAAAAAGGATTTATTTTTACTCGAGAACAGCTGTTCTTTTATACTCGATTTAGCTATATTAAGCTTCAAGCTACGTTTTATACCACTTATTTATACTTACAGGTAGTACCAATAAGACGAAACCAAAAAAAAATCGAAAAATTACCTCGCAATTGTGCGCCTTCAACTCCCGCTCGCAGTCCTTCATGAACGGGGCGACGAGCCGGAAGTCCGAGAAAGCCAGGCGCTCGGTACGGACTGTAAAGATTTATGCATTAAATGGACCACTCTCTCTCTCTCTCTCTTCTCTCTCTCTCTCTCTCCCAAAACCTACACAAGAATGCGTGACACTGCGATTCCTTGGTGAGGTTCCCAACAAATTCGATGAGGCACGACAGGGCAAACCCGGGCTCGGTGTGCTAGAAATTCAGGGTATAGAATTAATCTTTGAGAATTCCGCTACGCTACACCCTGAAATCAAATTCCACGACGCACCTCAACACACTTGGCCATGGCCGGGCGGTCTTTCATCTCGGCCTCGCAGTATTGCTTGGCGGCCTGGAGGAAACGGTCGTCCTGGGTGAGGCGCTTCTGGAACGGGGGGTACGGTAGAAGGGGCAGATTTCAGGAAAATAGAGTTTAAAGGGAAGGGCAAGGCATTGATATAGAATTTTTATCGCTTCTCAACGGTTGCGACACGCAACGCGCACGACAATCGATTACGCCATGGAAAAGCGCGCGTGTAAGTTTGAAACGGGCGTAATTTCCATAGAAAATCCATAGTCTCGCCTCGCCTATCCCTTTAAAGCTTCTTGACAAACGCTTGCTTCTAAAAAACTCGTTTATATTTCGGTTACCTTAAAATCCCAGACAAGCGCCTGGCAAGCCGTCGTCAACGTGGCGGATTCTTGTTGTCCGGCATCTTGGAGACACTCGATAATTGAGATATCACTCTTCAAGTCGACTCCATCCTGAAAAAGCTTGATTATAGCCCTATTATTTTCAAGGAATCGCTTAAGGAGCTCGAAGGTACCTTAAACCTAAAAAAAAAGTAAAACCCACGTGGTTACAGTATTTGTGGATGTCCTCCTTGCACGCGTCAAATCCGAGGATGTGCTCGCCGCTGAAATTTGGGAATGGGCAATTTTTCCGTTTTTTCGGGTTACTGTATTTTCAAGGCGCAACTCCTTACAATACGATCTACAGTGTTTTTGGTAGCGAGCGATCGCTAGCTGTTTGTTTATTCATGCGCCTCGCCGAGCCTCATTGATTTTTGCATGTTATGGCGGTGCAGCCCAGCCTGGCTATAGATATCCGCTGCCAAATAGAGGCGGAAGAGTTGGAGACGATAGAAAATTTAATCGTACACGTCGTGTAATTCGGTAAAATCCGTAGCGGTATTTTAAAGGTACGAGAAAAGACTAGACTATGTTGCGCTGTCGCTGGCATCCCGAAAACCATAATCCCGACAAACAAAATATCGACAACCAAAATCCCGACATTTTCTACTGCTACTTTCATTTAAACAGCTATTTTGCAAGCCGGGATTTTGGCCTGTCGGGGTTTTTGCTGTCGGGATTATGGATCTCGGGATTTTGGTTTTCGGGTTTTGAAATGCCGAGGTCTCGGATGTCGAAATTTAGGCGCTTTGCCCTACGCGGGCGCCGGGAAAATGCTTGAAAATCGTGCGGCATTCCTGATTTTGTAGATTAGATAATTTATAACTTAGACAAATTTTAGCGATCCATTTATTTTCGAATTTTTAGAATTATCTTAGACACATTTTCGATGTTTTTGATTTATTTTAGACACATTTTAGCGATTTATACTGGTAAAAGAGAACGACAAATAAGATCATGCAGCGCGTTTCCATTTTTACTCATTTTTCCACTTTTCTCCACTTTTTGAGCCGTGTCCTCCACGCCCGCCGGGCAAGGGTGTCGAGAATGGGGGGCCGAATCAAATAGACTGTGAAGAGGGGGGTCTGGTCATAAACAGGTTCCTCCTCAACCACCACCATTCGCCGCGCGGGATCGATCCCCAGTGGCGCTGCGCGCTAGGGGTGGATTCCCCCGGATGCAAAAGAATATTGGCGAAAATCCGGTTCATGCCTATCGACATGAAGCCGAGTGGCACTGTTTTGATAAGCTGGGAAAGCTGATTATAGGAATTAGTGCTTAGAGTGGCTTAGAGTACGCAATTTTACGAACCAAAACACTCAAAAATCTTAAAAAATCCGGGTATTGTGTACGCTACGCTACGATACGATGTACATAGCGTAATTAGATGCTTAACGTAGTCAAAACCACGAGAACAACTTACTTTGCCGGAGCAGCATTGCCCTGCTGACCGCCGGCGGCCGCCTGCGGATCGGCGCTAACTAAAAAAATTCAAATTTAGGTTAAAAAACGCCTCGTCCTTTTCGGGGAATCGGAAAATCACCCACCAACTGAAACAAGCAGCAGGAGCCCGACGCTGAGCCCCGCCTGCATGGCTCAGTGACCCGTTGATTCGCTGGAAAAAAGAAGACTTTACTGATTTTTTTTAAAACAGAAAATTGTATAAGAAAAAGACGAAGGAATAGAAACAGGGTCCCCGGAAATTCGGGGCTCCCAGCGACGAAAAACCATAAATTAAGGGGCGCCGCGTGTGGGCCATGCGGGAGAATCGGATTTTTACGCGTGTGTGTCATAATTCAGCAAAGAGGTAGGAGAGATAGAGAGAGAGATAGAGAGAGAGAGAGAGAGAGAGAGAGAGAGAGAAAATTGCTTATGATTTGGGAGTGTTTATTAGAAGTGATAGTCAGCATTTACGTATCAATTGGAGCCGATATCCAGAAAAACTTTTGAAAAACAATTTCCTACGTGATTTTAATACTGAAATTGACTTTTAAACAACTTTCAAACTCAAATAAGGACCTTTTTAAAGTTGTAAAACAAAAACTTGCGCAAAATCGCCTCCCCCCCCCGTCTCGACCTTGACCCATTCATGGTCAACAGGGGGGCCACGTGGGAGGTGCTGATTTTGCCCGCCGTAGGGCGAAATGTCATGGTTTATAAAAGGAGTGACAGAGATAGGAAAAAGTGACGGGCACGCCCAGTGTGACGTGAAAAGCTTAGTTCGCCTCAAAAACTTACTTACGCACTTTTTTAAAAGAATCCGGGTTAAAAAATCTCAAAGATAAAAAAGTTGCACCTATTTTGGGCTATATACTTAAAATCAAGGATTTATCGCGCTTAATTTCACAAATATACTTGTCATCAGGCACGGTTTAATCGAGTGTGACTTGAAATTGAAGCATTTGAAGCCCAAAATTTCAACAAGAACTGAACATTTCAGTAGTATTTGAAAATTAGCGTCGAGGATAGTATTATAGCTTTTTACAAAGGTTTGCACCGTTGAAAATAAGGCGAAAAAGATGTATTAAAGCTCGTGAATTTATTATGTTTTCTGTATTATGTATTCAATCTTATCTGACGGTTGAAAAGTAAGGGTATATCAAAAATAAGCTTTTGACCGGCAGTTTAAATGCAAAAATAGTTACTCCAGGCCACCAATTGACAATACAGATAGTTAAAATGGTTAAAACAGCATCAATACTGTCAAAAACCCTATACAATGACTCCTGAAAGTTCCATGGGTCACTGCCAACCCAAACTCCCGCCTCGAAACAAAAACAACAGTAGGGAGGGGCGTGCTGAGTTGGCCAAACTCGAGCTGGTGCTCCGGGAACGGATCGGCAGACCGGCGGGCAGTCGGCCCGGGAGCACGATCTGGTCGAGATTCCGGTGGTGAGCACAAGAAACTGGCCGGGGATATGGTGAAAACAGGCCTTCGCCCCTCTAGGGGAACCCTAGGCTTACGTGCCCCCTTCCCGCCCGCCCCGCACAGGGTGCCCGTGTAGCGTGTAGTCTCGCGTACCGCCCGACCTAGTTATGAATGCGCGACCGGTTCAAGCTTCATTGATCCAATTTCTTAGGATTTTTTGTGAAATTTATAGTTGTTGTTTGTTGCTTGAACTTATACGCTGCTAGCTATGTTAATTGAAGTGAAAAATATGCTTTAAAGTAAGGAAAAGCGGCCAAAAATTCGAAAATTCGTTACATGAATTAATAATATCACTGATTCTTAACGTTTATAGAAAAAATTATCCGCTAGAATTGTACCTTAACAGTTCAGGTATTTGCAATCGCGCTTCTGCAAATTTCAAGCTCAAAATCCGGTCCTAAGTCATCAGAAGCTCCGAAAATTCGAAAATTCAAAACAAAAAAATACAAATCTCCGCTTTGTGCATTTAATATAAAAAAATTTATAGATTAAGAGCATAATTTGAAATTTTGGATCATTTTAAAAGATCGCTATCATTACCCAGCCGATTTATCTCTGGAATTTGCCTTGGAAATCGGTAAAAATCTCCTAAGATTTCAAAAGTTGAAATATTTTAATGCTATACCATTTTGCTCTTAATTTTGAGTTATCGACTTCATTATATTCATTGCGTTTTAGCGTAGTTTTTTTATTGTATAAGCAAATTTTTTTGGCAAAAGGATGAATTGACAAGTTCCAATTATGATTTCGGAGTTTATTAATGGTTCATTAATGCCTTCTAATTGGTGTTTTGCGCAGGAATTAAAAAAAGAATTTTCTAGACTCGGAATTAAGCTAAAATCGGTCTGGGCTTGTTCCAAAGCAGACAAAATCCGCATAATATTTGCTCAGGGGGTCGCGCTTGGCTGGGTGGCCAGAAATAGAGATTGGATTTATGCTAATGAGGGGTAGTTGGTGTCGTTCAGAAAATGGGGGAGATACGTGATCATTATAGGTTGGTAATAGGCGAAGGTTGATTAAAGAAAGTTAATTTAAGATTAAATTACTACTTAAAAACTACATTACGATACAAATGACGGAAAGCTATCCTGAAAAATCATACGACGTCTCATAAAACGTTTTGACGAATCGTCAAAAAGTGAAATTTCTAGGAAATTTTTGAGGTTTTAGCGGGACCATTTTCAAATGCAATTTTTTGCAAGCACGACTCGATTTTTGGCAGTTTTCTATTTTCCGATTTTTTCCAGTCCTTTTTCCCCCTTTTCCTCGGTTTACGCGCGAAAATTGTTTTATCAGCTTTTTGACGCACTAATGACAGTCACTTCTGATGGCGCAGACGTGATAACGCCTGGCCCGGGGCTACCATTTTCGAGGTGTTTTCACGCCGTCACTGCTTTTTACGGATTCAACCCAGTCAGGGGAGTCCATTCCCCTTTTTCCCCCACATCTGACGGTTTGCACGATACCGTTGAAGATATACGTTAAATTCGAATTTATTTCCCCGACATTGTCGCCCGTATCTTGCCTTCACCATCCCTTTAAAGCCAACCGGCTGCCTGTCGTCCTGAGAGATTCTGATGCAAATTTTTAGCTTTTAAAGGGACATTTTGCAAATACAGCCCAGTGGACTATCTCAATTCGGTAAAGAACCCTTTTTCCGTCTTCCTCACCCAAATTTAGCCTTCACTATCCCTTTAAAGCAAAAAAAAAAACCAGCCGAAACCGGCTTCTCCTCCCCCCATGCATTGGCGCTAATTTTCGGGGCTGTGTTTTTTCACAAATCGTGCTGTCTGCAAGGCGCGGCGGCGGGCGGGCGGGGGTGTGACCCAAATAAGACGGACGGCCGCGCCCGGTCGAGCCGTCGACAGCTACGCGCGACGCATCCCCCCCCCCCCCTTGGCGACACTTGGCAAACAACTGAGAACCGGGACGGGTGGGTGGGTAGGAGGGGGAAGGAGGTGGGCGACGACCACTTTCTGCGGTCGACAGACAGGCAGACAGACACAACCTCATCGAGTTGATCGATTGGGTCGGTCGCTGGCCGTCTATGCGACGACAATTTTCGAATCTGTGGCTTTTTCCTAGCCGTTTTGTCGATATTTCATTTTAAAAATAAGAAGTTGAGCTTAAGTTTTTCACTAAGCGAATCGAAGCCCAAGTCAATGTCGCTTCCTATAAGCCAAGTCAATAAGTTCACGGGACTTGATTGGTTAGATCGGAGCTTGGCATACGCTGCGTCGATTTTCCAGGATAATTAACATCTTCGTAGGTTTTGACTCATCTATAATTTTATTTTGAAGGCTAAGCATATTTTAAGCCCATACCGTAACTGAAGCCAGGCCCGAACCTACGCCTACGATAAGCCGAAAGACACCTAAGCCCGAGCAAAGCGCAGTCCTAAGCCGGAGTCTGAGCCAAGACCAAGCTAAAACTTAAGCCAAAACCAAGCGTCAGCCATATCGATTTTATAAGGGTTTTATTTATTTGTCTCCCAACGCTCATTTTCTCTCCCCCCTCACCCTCACCTTCTCTCTTAGCTTTCTGCAGGTGCAACCGGGCTGTTTCCATGTCGTAACCGTTTGCCCGTCTCGTCTTCGATTCCACTGTTCGATTTTTTTACTAAGCTGTACTTAAAATATTTAAGCTTACCAAGTAAAAAGATCATATTTTCAGGACCAAATGGTGGCTGGGGGTTTTATGAAGGGCAACTGGGGCCCGAACGGCGAATACCGGGGCAGCCTGATCGCGATGGTGCAGGAACGACGTCAGCTTTGGGATTTGCAGCATTACAGTGAGTTTCAGCCTTTTATAAGTGTCTAAGGGCTTTGGCTACATTTTAACCCCACCTAAATTTAAATAAAAACTTAACCTCATTCTTACTTTAACCACAATCTTACGTATATAACTTTGTAACCATTTAGATCATCGAAACCATCACCAATCCTACAGTCATTGGGCCGATATCGCGAAGGGGATGTCTGCAAAGCACGGTCATCCTTATACAGGTTGGCTATTTTTGTCGAGTTGTGAGAATTGTATTTTAGTCATTTTCAATCATAAACAGTATCTTAAATCCACGATTTTAGCCGAGGAATGCCGAAAGGTATGGCGGCACCTCTTCGACTCCTACCGGCGAACGTTGCGGAAAACTGGGGGCGATGGGCGTGGGTGCAGATGGGAATACTTTGACGCGATGAACTTTTTGAAGCTTCATGGACGGCTTGGCCCGAGGTTGGAATTTAGCAAACTTTTTTTAATAAACTTTTTAGCCGGGCTTCCCTTCCACCGTTGGGCGGCGATCAGGAATCGAGCGAAAATAAGTAAGCTACATTTTTAAGCGGGGGCTGGTGCGTTCTGTTCTTATGAAAAACCCAGCGCCCAAAATGCGCTTCGCTAGCTTTGGGCGCTGGACTGCTGTTTTTGCATAAGAAATTTGACTTTTGATATCTTGGGTCGTTTAGCCCCCCTCCCCCACCGATCAGACGCGCGCGTGCAACTTGCAAGAATGGGAGACTTCATTTTTTTGACGTCGTGCTAATTAGCCAGCCCGGACCCTAAAAATGAATAAAACAGGATTTAACGTTGTAAACTTGTATTTAATCAAAATTCTGAGAGCGCCATCGAAAACAGAAGTATCGATTCCCCGTTTTGACGGAGACCTAGGGCATTTTATGCACGGGAAGGCCCTCAAACGGGGCGTCGGAATGGACAGCTGCACACACACCCACAGCCACATACACGCCAAAACTATCTAAGGTAGAATGTTAATTTTCGTTGCCTTTTAGCTACCTGGATGGCCTCCTGAACGACGACCATTCCCGCGAAGACATCTCCCTGATGGATGCCGAATCATTCGACAACCCGGGCTCCAGCGCTTCCCAAATGCTGATGAATATGTTTTCGGCTGTAAGTCGTTCATCGATACGCTAACAAATGCAGCGAATGAAAAATCGAAAAATGGCAAAAATGTCGAACCTACCTTGCTAACCGCCTTTTTTCAAAGACTCCCAAATATAAAAAAAATTTTAGGAACCAAATGATCGCGACTGGTCCCCAGACTCGCAGAATCTCTTCCAAGGCGATGCCGTTGATGCGGCCGCGGCAGCGCGAAAATCCGAGAATCGAGACATTCCGGAAACACTGAACCTTGGAGACGACACTGGCCGACGGCATCCGTAAGTTCAAGGGCCAGAGTTCCCGAAGTGAATTCATTTCAGCAGTTCCAAGGTGTGGAAACACTTCCAAAAGGTTGGGGCCGAAGAGGCGCTCTGCCGCTACTGCAGGGAGATCGTGAGCGTGAAGAAGAGCAGCACGACGCAGCTCCATCGGCATCTGTCGAGGATGCATCATATAGACGCTGGGCGGATTGAGCGGCATTCAAATGCTACGGTAGGTTGAGAAACATGTCATGAATTTACTTTCTCTATATTTTAACTCGAAGTTTTCATTTTACACGGCTATTTTCTAGAATGGTAGCTTCACGCCGTCACGAATTCTGAAAGAAGAGCCATACTTTGATCTTCAAGACCCGTTCTTCAATAAGAGTGACGGCAATTTGGCGGGGGCTTCTGGCAGAGCACAAGGTTTGGATTTCATTACACAAGTTGAATTCTATAGCTTCAGATCCGGATTCCATGTCGATGACGCCCAGCTCGTCTACGACAATAGCGGGTTAGCATAACGATACCTTCGTAAGTTTTCCGTCCAGATGCCGCCGACCTGAGCAAGCTGTTCGGAGGACAGATTGGCACTGCCAGTGCGGCCATGCCGAGCTCGTTCGTCCCGGAGGACTCATTTTCGGCGCTGGGGCGTGTGTTCGCGGAGCGGATGCGGAAGTTGGAAACTGTTGGAAGTAATAGGTGAGCTTTGTCTTCGGGTAGATTAATGACAAGTTTTTGAGCTGCTTTTCACGGTTTCTTTAATTATCATACCGGCTTGTCTTCGTTTCGTCGAAATGTCATTTTTTCGAAATTCCATTTTGTCGATGTTTCATTTTCCTGAGATTTCAATTTTTCGACATTTTCTCTCCTCGATTTTTCATCTCAAACATTTCGAAAATTGAAACTTCAGCGCAGAAAATGATATTTCGACAAAATGATTTGTCGTGATAATTATTTTTCGACAAAATGACATTTCAACAAAATTATTTTTCGACAAAATTATAGCAAACCGTTCAAAACATTTCATTATTTATTTCCAGACTCGCCTCTTTTCAACTTCAATTCGATCGTTTACTCCTCAACCTCCAAGAAGAGATCGTAAAACTCGAAGAAGAGAAAACTGCTTAAGCTCTCGTTTTACTTCATATTTTGCCGGTATTTTTTGTTTGTACAAAGGCTTCGTTTCCTACTTTTTTCCATACTTATCATCACAAGTACAGGGTGTCCCAAAAAAAAGACACCGGCCGCATTTCTCTATTTCGGGTCCGATCAACTTGAAATTTGGCACAGAGGTCTCGAAGCCAATTTCCCATGAACACAGAAAGTTTCAGCCCCATCGGTCAGCGGATTTTAAAGTTATAACGGAAATACTTTTTATTTTTTGTTTAATATGGGGACCTCTGCAATTTGCATCAAAAATGTGCGTAATTTTGTCATTTACGAGCTGAGTTTGCATAATTTTTGCCGAAAAAGGCCATTTGCTGTTTTGCGCTTCGTAAGAACGATTGCGCATGGGAAGTAGAAATGATCCACAAAACCGTCAGATATAAGAAACCAGTATTGTAACATACGTTCACCGGTTGTTTTAATTTATTTTTCGGCTTACGCATAGATTTAAAGCCTCGATTTGAATTTAAGCATTAATTTGGAGCTGGTCGAACGCTGCGTCGAGTCCAAGGCGGGACCAACTGACCAAAACTTCAATAAAATGTGTTTGAGTGCTCAAAAAACTGTTGTTTTCACGGTATTTTGTTTGTCATGCGCAATCGTTCTTACGAAGCGCAAAACAGCAAATGGCCTTTTTCGGCAAAAATTATGCAAACTCAGCTCGTAAATGACAAAATTACGCACATTTTTGATGCAAATTGCAGAAGTCCCCATGTTAAATAAAAAATAAAAAGTATTTTCGTTATAGCTTTAAAATCCGCTGACCCATGGGGCTGAAACTTTCTGTGTTCATGGGAAATTGGCTTCGGTACCTCTGTGCCAAATTTCAAGTTGATCGGACCCGAAATAGAGAAATGCGGCCGGTGTCTTTTTTTTTGGGACACCCTGTATAATCCTTACTTACGCGTTTCTACTCCTACTTTATGTTCCTTTGTCCCTCTCGTTGTGATTTCTCGACTGGCATATCCATACCATTTATTCTCCCCCACCAAAAACACAAAAAAACCACCCGTCGGAAACGGTCACAATATAGATGATCGGGGAATACATCTTCTCTTCTTTGTTTACAAGGCATTTCGGGGGAAAGCGGAAAGATATACATACAATATCAGGGGCACCGGAGGTTCTGGACTGTTATCGGGGGGGGGGGGGCGTAACTTTGGCCTATCGCACCGTAAGGATCTCCAAAATAAAAACGTCACAATTTTTGCGCGATTTTTAAATCTATAAAGTTCATAAAAATTATGAAAAATTTTTAATTAGAAACTGAAATCCAAAAATTCCGAATTTTAACTTTTCCAATTTTTTTGGATAATTTTTGGTATTGAAAAACTACTAAATACACTTTAAAATATACTATGATAAAATAAAATTTCCATCAGCCTCCGCCCCCCCCCCCGCTAACAGTCCAGAACCGAAACAAGAGGATGACTAGCGCAAAGCCCACTTCACCAAGCCAAGCCAAGCCACAAAAGCCACCTGAGGCAAACGTAGGGGTATTTTTGATGATGTTTAATCATTACGTATCAGATTAACATTAATAATAAAAATCTCCAATAATGAAAATAAGTCGTTTAGAACTTATGCTGATAGGGGCACTCGCCAAAGCTGTCCTGCGACGATTGGGCCTGCGAGTTTCGGCGGTCGATGATTTTCATCGAGCGGTCGAAGCCGACTTTCATCTGGAAATTGGGTTTTTATATTTTACATTTTTGTATTTTTAATTTTTATATTTCTAAATACCTTTTGATTTATGTATCAATTTTAATACGAATTTTAACCCTAGCAAATTCCGTTCAAACTTACCTCATCAGTGATATATGCCAAAAGTAAGCGCCAAGCCTTGACACAGTCGTGGTTGTATTTTACGGCTTCCTAAATAATTATTTTTTATAAAGTTTAGATGCTAAAAAACACTTATTAATGAATATAACAAAATTAAGTATATACCTGAGCCCCAATTACCCCAATCGCCAGCTCGCCAAACGTCTCGATCATTGTGCCGGTGAAGCCGCTGTCGCGCATCTGGAAGTGGGAATCGTTAAGTTTTTGATTTATAGCTGCGACACGAAGAAGTAAGGTAAGTAATATTATCATTATACATTATTATAGCAGGTAATTATAACAAAAGTGTAATATTTCAAACCTGCGCATGTTTCTCGCCGTAAAGCCTGAGCAACGACACCTCTTTGTCCATATCATCCAAATTATCGACGATTCTCTCGAACATGCCCACTAAAATGTATTTATATTTACGGAATTACGTCTATAAATATTGAAATTACTTTTTTATAGTGATAAGCAGTTTGCCAAATTCAAGCACCAACCCAAACACTTGCAATGGTCGTGCTCGGTCTTGACGAGAGGTGGCGATTCGCGCTCGCGTGAGAGCGAGTTGACAAAGGCGGTGGTGAGGAAGATGGAGCTAAAGGAGTCCGTTATAAATTGTTCTAAAATCATTACCGTATATCCGGGAATTTGCTCTCCATCCTTCGGAAAACTTGCTCAATGATGCGTAGGAACTGGCCTCCGCTGTTTAGGTTGTTGAATGACGACTGAAAATAGGTAAAATTTGCTTAAAAATCGTAAAAATTTTATATTTTGTTTTTGTAACTATTAGATAGTTATTAAAATTGTTTTTATTATTTTCCACTCCATTCGGCCTTCTAAAACGCCGAAAGTGCGGCGGTACCAGTGGCCAAGTGGTAGCGCGTTAGCTTTTCGCCCACACGATCAGGGTTCGACTCCCGGCCGGTACAGGGTTTTTGCTTTTTGCCCAGAAACATCTCCTCCTACCTTTAATGACTTTTTCTGCTTGAGCGTGAGTGTGAGGAGAGAGACATGGCGAGGGCTTGGAGAGTGGTCCGATACGGGACTCGGGTCTCCAAGTGACATTTGGCGGGACAGTTCGGCTCTAAAAATTATTATTAATAAAATTTAATTCATTAAAAATGGCAAGATAACAAGCTTTTTCCACCCAAAAATCTCCCCTATAAATGTCAAGAGTTCAAAATGGACTGACTGCCTCGTTTGGCCGGGCCCTCGAAATGCCCATAAAATCCGTGGGGGGTGGTCCCGCTATTTTTCGCGTCATTTCCCAGGGCCCGGCGGCTAATTTTCTACTGTTCTTTCAAACGGCTCGTTTTCCGCTTTTCCCGTGCGCGGCAAATGGACTGTTCCGGGAAAAAGCGGATGGGGTTTCGGGTCGTGATTTTCGAGCCTTATACATGGGTTTTTCTGGTTTTCAAGGGACGGAGAAGTATGGCTGGGCTATGGAATTTGTCATTTAGCGTCTGAAAGTCCGAAAATGTCTAGTAGCAAAATAGTAGGTATTTGAATAGCGTATTTAACCAAGCTTAGCTATATTTTAAGTGGAAAAACATTTGAAAAACTCGTGAATTTTGGAAAACCCGAAATTTTCGGCGAAATACCTCTATTTTGCATTTTTTTAACAATTTTTTGTAAATTTGGACGCTTAGTAATATTAATAAATTTTTGGGAGTATTATATTTACATGAAAAACGGCTATTTTTCAAGGAATTAACTAAAAATTAAAGTAGTTAAAATTAGACGACCGGAAAGAGCTGCAAAATATGGTTCTGAAATAGTTTTGAAAACTGCCAACCCAGCGTCCAACTTATTTAAATCCCCCCGACAAAAACATACGTGGGCACGTCGAGGGTGTTCGTCTTGTGCATCCCGGGCCGGAAACAGGCTTCATCGGATTTGAAGGCCCTCATCTTGGCCATTGAGTCGCTGCAAAAAATCTATTGTATTTTTGAGGTTAAAAAGTTTAAGACATACCAAAAATCAGTTAAGATATTTGCGGGTTTTTCCGGAGCATGAATAATCCGGAATTTTGAAAAAATAACTAAAATATTTGGGAAAAATTCTACCGTAGCCCAAATTCCGCAAAGCACATTTTGAGGTTTTTTAGCGGCATAACTTTTCATAATTTTCAAACAGCAGTTTTTTTCAATTTTGCTATTTTCTACCGTAAGCCAGCCAGACAACAATCGCAAATTTCTGAAAAAAGGCAAAAAAATTAAAATCGCCGAAGGTTCTCAAAAATATAACAAAAAAAGTGCCGTAATTTTTTACCGTAATCCAGCTCTCATCACCCAGGCAGAATACTCTTAAAAACCGAATCAGAATGGAATATTTCGGGCCATCCCATGACCCGGAAAAGATCTCGTGGTGCCCCCAAAACCTTTTAGACTACTTCAAGCCTGCATTGCGTAACCCGATCCGGGTCATGACGCGTATTATTTTCCGCGTGGCTAGGTGCCAAACTGGGTCCTTTCAATGGGGTTTAAAAAAGGATCCTTTTCGGAGAGACACAGATACAAATCGCAAAAGTCAAACACCGAAATATCGTTTTTTATCTATTACCGATTATTACCAAATTTTGTTATCGAATCCAAATCCCGACGGTCAAAATATATTTATCATGATGCTTGTTTTTAAATAGGTGCTTTAATTTTTTATCATTCAATTTAAATCAATTTAATAATTTAATTAAATCTTGCAAAAATAATTTAATTTAAAGCTCCTAAATTCAAATCACAAATAGCTTTAGAAGATTTTAATTCGGGTGTTCTGTCGAAAATATTGTTGTCGGCATTTTTCTGGCGGCATTTTGACCGGAATTTCACTGGACGAAATGCCGACGGACTAAAATCCCGGCTAGACAAAATCCCGACAACCAAAATCTCGATAGCCAAAATCCCGACAAGGTTTTTAAGGTCGGGATTTTGGTGGTCGGCATTTTGGCATTGGCATTGTAGCTATTGGGATTGGGTTTGTCACGTTTTGGCTGCCGGCATTTTGCCTGTCGGTATTATGCAGCGAATTCAAGCCGGATCCTGCCTTTCCCGATGGGACCCAATAAAAATGATGGTCCCCGGAAGACACATAATTCCGACAATTCGGAATTTCGCCCAATTTTTCGAGACACGCGAAGAAGAGGATATCCCCCCGGGCTACGGGGGGGATACGCGGCAACGGCCCCGTTCCGCACAATTGCACCCTTCCGATTTTTACGGGTCTGCTGGGACATGGGATTTTTTTTGGGGGGGGGGGGGAATGGGGAAAACTCGAAAATGGGAAAATTCGAAATGGGAAAATCATTTGGGGAGCAGGAAGTCAAAATCTACGGTAGAAATTCGTCATAAAATATGTGAATTTATAGGGCAGCTAGCAGAGATTTTTTAGGAAGATGTATTGCCATTAAAGAATTTGACGGACTTTTGGCAAATTTTAAAAAGTTATTAAGTACTTGGCAAGATGTAAAATTCTACCGTAAGAATCAGCATAGTACGATTGAGGTCTAGAAAGGGTAACGAGCAGAGAAACTTTGCGAAGAATTTTTGTTTTGGAGTGTCTATCAATGCGCCAGCAGTAATTCTCAGATACTAGATTATGAGCTTGACGCGGTAGATAGCAAAGATCCTTTAGGACTGACGGCTTAGCCTTAGTGCGTAGTTACACCGAGTGAATCTCAAAAAATGCCAAAAAATGCTGGCAGGCTAGCAGAGAACATTTGGGAACCGCAAGATTATAAAAATTATTGTTAAAATTATGATTCTTGACCCAGACGACTATATTCTGAAGCTTCCGAGAAAAGTCATGAGGTGCCAAGGATGGCACCGGAAATCCATTAGGGACTGCGCCCCCATAGCCGTAAATACGGACGGCTCCGGAATTCGGCGGAGTTCGTCTTTTTGGTCGGAGGATTAGGACGATGATGGTAAGGGGCGAAATTTGGAAACCGGTCCACGATACAGAAAACATCAACCGATGGAGCGAAAAACGGCCAGACATCAGAAATGAGGGCTACTGTATCTGAAAAAATAGATTTCCCGGGAATCAGAAATACGCAGGTTTCGGACTTATTTGCAAAAATTCTTGAAATTCCGCTACAGTACGCCGCGAAAAGCATGTAAATAGCTGAAATTTCGGCCACTACAACTCAAACGGGGCCACTTTCACTAAGGCGCGGCACGAAGGTGAGGCAAACTTGCAGAGATTCTTGAGGAATAGTCCAAATTTCCAGTTTTAAGGCGAATTTCGCTAAATTTTCGGGAAATTTCGCTGCAATTCGTCTGGGAAAACCTCAAAGAACGTCTCTATTTCTTCAATCAAAGATTGTATGCCATTAATGCATCGAGCACCACAAGGCAACCTAGCAGGGTTTCTTAAGGAAACTCCTGCGGTGTCGAAGCACAGTCTGAACTTCTAGCAGAAGCTGCTAGCCCTAAAACTAAAAATACACATCGTCCAAGCCAGCCAACAACGCGTCACGAGTGCCAAAATCACTGCCAAATGCATGGGGGAATTGTTTAAAGGGACATGGAAGTCAAAGGAGCGCTGAAAGAGGGCGATAGCTCACCACTAGGACCTGTTTTTCTGGGGGACACCAGCCATTTTGCCCAATAATTCATAGGAAATCCCGGGCCCTCCTCCCATCCAATGCCTTTTTTGCTTTTTTTCGGGGGTGGCAAAAGGGGAATAGTGGATTTTGGGATGAGGGAGGAAGAGCTGGGGTGGGTAGACGAAAATACCTCGGAGAGCCCGACTCCCGAGCGCGTAGTTGGCCGGATTTTGGAAAATCTTTGAAAATCTTTGTAGATCCTACTTGCAAATAATCTTAGGGCAGCTGAAAGATAATGCAAATTACGGTAGGATTACGGTGGAATGACGGAAGCGAAAAACCTACTGTAATTTTCTGATTATGTTTGTTTTGCTTTTTTTAGAGGACGTTCTCTCTGGTAGTCAGGTTTTCTCTCTCTCTCTCTCTCTCTCTCTCTCTCTCTCTCTCTCTCTCTCTCCTCTCTCTCTCTCTCTTGCTCTCTCTCCCTCTATCTCTCTCTCACTCTCTCTCTCACTCTCTGTCGCTCTCGCTCTCTCTCTCTCTGTATCTCACTCTCCATATCTCTATCTCTATCTATGTTTCTCTCTCACTTTCTCTTACTCTTACTTTCTCTCGCTCTCCTGTACTCATTCGCGCTCTCTCTATCTCTATCTCTCTAGCTCTCTATCTTATCCTCTTCTCTCTATCTCTCCTTCTCTCTCTCTCTCTCTCTCTCTCTCTCTCTCTCTCGCCACTCACCGCCTCTCCTCCAACCGTTTCGGCCGTGGCGATAACGATCGCTGCTCCCCATTCTGATGATTTCGATTCTAGACAAACTCTTGGTTACTGTAGAATATCCACTGGATACCGGTGTCTCCCTCGCGGGGCTCAGGCTCGGTTGGGAAAGCGGTTTTCGAAGTGGCTCGGTCGGGGGCGATGCTTCATACCGGTCGACCGAGTATTGGAACTACAATTTGCGGATTAAAGGGCTTGTGAAGTATCAGAATCGACCCTTTCGTCTACGAGGTATAGACAACTACTTGCAGACCGTCCAAAACAACCCGAAAGACCCAAGAAAAGTCCAAAAATCAGGGTATTTGATCGCGTTACTGTGAAAATAGCAGGCTGGCGACTTGCCAATGATCTGAAGCGCCATGTTATGCCTTCCACGGGCTTTTAAAACGGTCAAAAATAGACATTTAAATATTAAAATACCTGTGGTACTTGATGAGTCCTCTTCAAGTGCAGCGTGGCCGGCCGCCGCCGCTCAATCTCACGTTTTGCCCGCTCCGCCGAACAGTCGGCCATTCGGTAACTGAAAAAAAGAATAAGAATTAATCACGGCTATTCAAGCATTAATAAACACAATTTTACAGGTAGATTACCTAGAAAAATCAGAAAGTATCAAAATTTTCCTAATAGAATGATTGAAAAACGATTTTTTCGATTTTTCAAGCCGAAAATGACGCGGTCAGCAGCTTCATCATGCTCTCATTTTTTAGCCCTAAATGCGGCCTGGGTCGTAATGGGCCCTAAGGACATAAACAACACGAAAAATGGAGGAATGTGGGGGCACACACAGTGTTTTTGATGATGGGCTGCCTGCCCCCTTCACGCGCCGTTTAACAAATGCATATGGCACTGAATTTGGGATGATTGGGGGTCGAACCGAGACATCGGAAAGATGATGGATTGATGCGACGGGAGAATAGGCAGGCTGTTTTTACAGGGTGAAAAGGTTAATTTTAACGATGGCGCATTAATGATAGAATGATTGGTTGGAAGAAAGCGTTCGAACTATTGTATGACACGATAATTTACATAAAAATGTTCATATTGCCGCGTGAAAGCAGGTACTTTTTAGTCATTGATGATAATGGCGGCTTTTTGCGCATTAATGAAAGCCATACAGGCTTTTTTATGAAAATTCTGAATTGCTTAGCCGGGCAGTTTCGAAAACCGTGTTTTCGAGAGCCCATTTCCGATTTTCCGATTCCGATTTTCGACAAATTAGATTTATTTTGTCTTTTCGGTTTATTTATTTAGTATGTTTGATTTTCGAAAGTCATTTTTTTAAAAAACAGGAACAGGAGAGGCAACAGGATATAAAATAACAATTCAAATTGTCGAAATGAATTTTGAAAAAAATTATTTTGGAAACAAAAAATTTCCATTCAGCTAAATTTCGGAAAATTCTTAGAAAAATGTGTATGCGATTAAAGAAATGCGCCGAACTTATAATACAAAATTTTTAAATTTAGAGTTTTTACAATACGGAATCCTGCCTCGCAAAAAAACAAGCCCCGCGGCTGGCGGCGTCAGAACGCTGCTAAAAAGACAAGTAGTGGTATTGGCACCCTAAAGCAAAACACCCGGTGTCCGGAAATT